AAGTTATATGGTATGTATTGGTACGTGTAGCAATGTAAATATAAAATATCTTGATATTTATTTTGTATTTAGCATGTACGATGCACAACGGCTATGGGTAGATATGTATTTTAGCAATGATGCGCCACCACATATGTCGAGGAATGTGCCCCCAATGTTTACAATATATAGCATGACAGAACAATATCTTAAACATATTGACCTGGTTACATTTTGGCCATCAGTATATGTGATTAAAGAGTGCGCTTACGCCAATGTGGCACCTGTGGGTCCCAATGTCCGCAAACGTAATTCAGTAATAATGGCATTGACCGAGGCACTTATTGCCGTGTTTAATCAACCAGAATATGCTAATGTCACTTTGACATGGCAAGAAATAAATTATGATAATTAAAAAACTAATTTTGCTTTGTAAAATTTGTCTGTATTTTAATGTTTTTTAAAGCTAATATTTTATTATAGTAATTTATTAGTACTTTATTTAATTAATTTAATTAATATCTTTCTCTATAAATTTTATTAATTGTAAATTTAAAATACAATTACAGAAATTTTTCAAATAAATATTAAATGTAATTACTAAACAAATGAGATCCATCTACCTTTTATATTAATATATTTTAAAGTTTTAATAATTTAATTATTGATGTTATATGAAAGTTAATTATATTTTAACAAAATGAATGTATATGTTATATTTGCATATATTTTACTAGGTAATTATCAAAATTTTATAAGTTGTTTTTATAATAATATAAATGCCCTATAATATTATAAACAATTGAATAATTTTCAATTCAAAATTGTTAATTGATAAATATATAATATTAAATAAATATAATTATTAAATATAACAAAATATTATTTATTTATTTCAGTATATATTACGAGTAATTTATGTACCACTGAAGTAAATGAAGCAAACGAACTAGATAATGATCTAGCTAATATTGATCGCACAGGCAATCGGACACATCCATGGCCTACAACCAAAGCCGACATTAAGGCAAATATAACCGAGTAATTAAAATGCAAAATTTTATACAATATAAAATATTAACTTTACAATATTAACTCTGACAAACGTACCAACTTATACAGTTTATTTTGTTGTACATAAATGTCAATTATAGTAATATGTTAATTAATGTTAAATTATACAAATTAATAGCAATGCATTACAAAAATATTAATTTCAGAATACTCATGTTCCCCAATAACACAATATTAATATTTAAATATAAACATGTTATATACTACACAATAATTAATTACTGTTTATAAAATATTTAACTTAAACTAAACAAATAATATAATTCAAAAAAGGTTATTAATTAATCATGTTATATATTTACAGTCAATACATATTTGCATTTTTGAAACTACATGACTATGTATTAAAACGTGTAAAGAACACAAACGTCCACATATTCATCAGGATCATTATAGCCGAGCGGCTACGATATTACAACGCGTGGCTAACTCACCCGCGCAAGGTGAAATTATTTGCCAACTTAAATGAACATAATGAAATACTAGGGGAATCTAGGGCTAAGTTAATCAACGCTTACACTGAGATAAGTCTACATGGTAATAACTGGGCCGTCTCCCAGGTTATTTGGTATGTATTACTACGTCTAATAATTTAATTATAAACTAACTTCATTATTATTTATTTAGCATGTACGATTTACACCGGCTACAAATACAAACATTAATGTTTGGTCATGGCGCACATGCACATGATGATATGCCCATTGAATTGGCCCCAGTGTTTACAATAACAAGCATGACAGAAAAGTATATGAAACATTTTGACATGGTCAAATTACCGCCAATGAGATACATATTTGAGCATTGCGATTACGCCAAAGTGAAACCTGTAGGCCCCAATGTTCGCAAACGTATCTCGATAATAATGGCATTGACCGAGGCACTTATTGCCGTGCTCAATCGACCAGAATATGCTAATGTCACTTTGACATGGTATCCGATATCATATCTACTTAAAAAAGTATAATAAATAAATCTTATAATTAAGTTATTTGTTTTATAAAACTTTTTTGTATTTTTAATGCTTTATTATAATAATTTATCACGTACTTTATTTATTAATTAAAATCGCCATATGTTGATAAAATTTTTTAATTGAAATTAAATTTTTATTAATAGTATAATAATTATTGGTTACATAAACAAGCTCAAAATGGCTCACATTTGTTGCTTGGTATTATTGATCGCGTGTATGTATAAATATAAAATAGTAAATCAATTATGATAAATTAACCATAATTAATAACACACAGCACAGGCACTGTTGGCCTATGGGTTCAGTAACACCGACGATGAAACCATTGACTACCTATTGGCCGGCGCTAATCGCAATGGCGACCCAAGCAGACTATGGCCCATTACACTGACCTCGCTGGATCACGATATATGCGAGTAATGCAATAAAATTTAACTAAAAAATAAACAACCATGCTTGTAATTTGTATTTGTACTTGTCTAATACCCCCTCCGTAGAAATATAGTGGACATCATGCTGAAAACGGTAACTTACACAGTCGAACGTTACCCGGATCAACAAGACTTGCACTCGGTGGTCAGGCTATTGTTTAGCGAGAAATTGCGCGTGCTACATCACGCGTGCAACAATCCAGCTACTGTCGAGTTTTATCGTATCGCCAACTATAAAGTGAACGAGTTGGCCAAAGTTAGGGGACAATTTGTGCACGCGCTTACTGTGGCCGCACAGCCCGGTGCTAATGTTAGCTTGTCGCAAATTGTCTGGTATAAGTTATTTATTTAGCTAGCTCAATGTTGTACTAGACAATTAGTCAATGATATATAAAATAAACATCTCTCTCTCTCTCTCTCTCTCTCTCTCTCT